ATAACGTGGTATGGACTAAAGCATGCATTTCCACAATGAGCCAATCAACCCTTATCACCCATTCGATCAAGTTGGACATGTAATTGTTGGGCTTACAACTAACTATCCGCCTCCAGTTGCTCATATCGAACCCACACCTAAGATGGCGACAATTATATGACAAACGCGGACATGTAATTGTTGGGCTTGCAACTAACTATCCGCATCCAGGTGCTCATTTCGAACCCACACTAAGATGGCGACAATTATATAACAATCGTTGTGACCTTTAAGTATTTTATCATTAGCATTGACTTGCGGGTACCAAAGGCACGTTCGGCTAATATTTACGATCACAAATTTCAAACAATCATGACGAGATCATATCAATGTTTGAACGTGAAAATGATCAATGCAGCATCGTCTTGATCAGTTCCATACAATCGATTATACAAAAACAGAGTATTTTGATTCTGAATATGCCGAAATAGAAATTTTAGAAGATCCGTTAATTGTTTTTTGATCCTGAACTTTCTGATTTTTCTAATCTAGATGACGATGCGTTTGACACTTTTATCCTATCATATTTATGTGTACTCTATAGTCATTTATGTTGTTTTGAACATCAAGCGTGTTACTGACAGTGTTTTTTTACCCATCAAATTCACTGCGAAGTGTTATAAAATAAATGCTCAATTTTTTGTTATGAATAACTTCTATTTTTACATCACTTAATAACATTATTGTTGACATGATCAAAATTAAAAATGAAACTTTATTTTTATTATATGTATACGTTTAAAAGTTATATAATAAAATTAAAATTAATTATATGTATACATTTTTAATTTTTTAATTTTGATATGATCAAAATTTATGTATTTTGAAATGATCATCAAAATTTATTTATTTTCAATATAATTAATTTTTCAGTAAATAAAAATAAACATTTACTCATTAAAAAAATATAAAAGAGAGAAAAAACTCTAAAAACGTCAGTCTAATTGACGTTTTCAGTTCAAAAAAAGAGAGGACCCTCATAAAAATTTGAGGGATAAAAACTCTAAAAACATCAGTCTAATTGACGTTTCAGTGAAAACGCTAGTTGGACCAACATTTTTTAGAAAAAGTCAGTTAAACGTCGGTTCAACTGACGTTTTCAGTCATTTATGTGTTTGTCTATTACAAGAGAAAATGTCACTTGATCTGACGTTTTTACACTAAAAACATTACTCTAACTTACGTTTTATGTTTGAAAACGTCTTTAAAATTAACGTTTTTAAAAGAGTATGGGTTTGAAAAATAATTTAAAAATTACCCTCTTTTGGGTATAAAGTTGAAAAATCCCATGGATTAGGGTAAAACCTTTAGTGATTTAAGTTTTGTTTTCAAACTCCCTCACCACTAGAGTACCATATAATTGTCCTGACCTCAAAAAAGAAAGGAACCAATAGACAAGAAGCAACAACGTAAAATGTAGAGGGGAAGTAAAAGAGTGTGCTCTTATATCGATGTAGGACAAACTCTAATGCTCAAGAATGTGCAACAATTACTCACACTTGGAGGGGTAGACATAAGATCCGAAATACGTGATCAAAATGTCATACGACATACTTATGGCACAAATAAAGAAAGAATCGAGTATTAAAAACAAAAAGTTTTGCCCAGAAATTTTTGATACCATAGCTTTACTTTTATTAATATTACTTTTATTAAAATAACATTACTTTTATTTTAATTTTTTGTATAATCAAAGTTGGATGGACTCTGTAGGCTCACATTGGTTAAGGTCAGCGTGACCCATCATAATATTTACAAGCTCTTGCATGCCTTTGAAAAGTCAAATACGGTGTGCCCAAAAATTCAACAAAGATATGCCATAAATATGTTGTTTTTGAGTTTTTTTCCACTTGTATGTGAAAAAATTAGATTTTTTAGACTATACCGAATAAAGTAACAATCCATTGAGATACGTAGTTCAACGTTGTGGGATTGGATTTGAACGAATGTCAAGGATTCGACTTCGTTAGTGTCTCAGAGGCTTAATTGATATCTACGATTTGCGGGTGAATATAGGTATCCAGGATTTACTAGTAGCCCTGTCTTAGAGAGATTCCTCATTATCAAAAAAAAATGCAATACAATAAAATCAAGTTATAGTTGAATGATTTCAAGTTTATGACCCAATTATTGAAACGGAAATCCCAATAATCATTAACAGCTCGTATGTATCAAATATAAAAAAAAAAAAAAAATTATTTAAAATCCTACAAGACGGAATTAGAGTTTATCTTCAAGATCGCTCTGAATTAATCTCATTTTAACAAGAAACTTTGAGTCTCACGATCTTCTATCGTATATCCTCCAACTCCAAAAATCTGAATCTAGTGTGGGCTGCAAACACCTTCGAACTTCTGTTCTCTCTCTCAGCCGTTTTCAAAACGTGAGTAATGAATTGATATTGATTTAAAAAGTCTAAACATCTATATATAAGTTATATATATAAGTTATGACAAAAAATCTAAGGAGAAATAAGGGTAGAGCTTCCAATGGGTCTAAGATTCCTATGTGTAACCCAGAACAAATATCTTACAATTCATTAATAATAAATTAGTCTACTAAAAATTTATTATTGATCTCCTGAGCCTTATCTCAAAATTACGTTTCAAGCTCCTTATTATTATATTCTTAATACTCTCCCTACGTTTAAAATTACAGATGTTCATCAATTAAATAAATTGCTGATAGTTATATTTAATTAATTTTTTTTATTCTTTGAGACTTTACCACTCAACTTATTTGTCATGTCAAATAATTAAATCCACTTATAGGGTTTGACGTTGACAAAACTTATGAACTTCCTCAAGACAATACCATCAACTCATTTAAATATCAACACGTGATTTTCTTTAATAATTAATTTTCATCATACAAATAATATCATTTTTCAATTTACCGAACTTATTGACTCAATATGAATCTCACTCTTTGATGAATTAAAGTGACAATCATTATATGCACGTGACAATTAAATATTTCAGGATTAAAAGTAAAAGCAATCATAATAATTATGAGATATTTATTATCTTATTGAATCAGTAAAAGATAATAACCTCAACATAGGTCTATTTGATGCACAAAGTGTACTAATGCAATAATTCAAGACATCAAACAATCTCTTATAGTCAAGATAAACTATGTTAGAATATTATATTACAATCATACTGATGGTGTGTCCAATTTCATCTAGCATTATGAACCTATACTCATATTATATAAGGATCCGATAATTTGGCATTTTTTATATAAGTTAAACTCTACACACCAGATTATCTACAATGTAAACTATAAAACACACATGCATACCATAATACAAATATTTTGCCCACATAAATTCTCAATAAAATAAAAAAATAAACAAACTCTTATTAATTAATAAAACGAGTTTCACTATAAAAAATAAATTTTTAGTATATAACTCTATCACTAACGAGATCCAAAAAATTGGTATTAATCCTAAAAAACCTAACTTGGTCCGCTTGAATCATAACTTAATCTCATTAGATAGTAAGTTGTAAATGATACCAAGAAAGAAAAATTCATCTTTCTTATGTCTTTTTTACTAATGAAATTTTAAGTTATTTTAGTTGTGCAAAATACCTGGAGGGAAAATTCACTTATGATCCCTGAATTAATTGGTTATTAAAAGGTATATAAATTAACAGTCTTGCTAAATAGGGTGATACTAGATTGTTACAAAAACGTGACTAAATGATGCGATGCTCATGTGGTGATTCTGATTCTCGCCAAGTCAGCGCTGCTACCAACGAGTAGCGGCGATTCTGTTTTGGATTTTTCACACTTTATACCTTGCAAGATATTTCAATTTTCACTTTATGTCTTAAAATATTATTTTTTTCACATTGGACCTTGAATATCATAAATTAGTTCCAATGTAACCCTCAAACTAACATTCGTTTCAAATTCCATTAAAATTTGATGCACATTTCACCCACGTGGGTTGTTCTTACATAAAAATATAAACTCACTGTTCATATTCTTGAGTGACATGTGCATCAATTTTTAACGAAATCTGAAACGAATGTTAGTTCGAGGGCCACATAATAACTAATTTATGACATTCAGGATACAAAGTGAAAAAAATAATCTTTCGAATTGTAAAGTAAAAATCGAGATATCTTTCAAGGTACAAAATGTGAAAATCCCTTTATTTTTTTTGGGTCATGTAGCGTTATCCTTAAAATATACAAAGTTGAACTAAGAAAATGGCCTTTAGTCAGATATTAAAAAAGATTGGAATACTTTGGCAAATTGTATTTTGTATCCTAAAAAAATTTATTTTATGCCCTCAAAAATTAAATTTATCACATAACGCTCTTAATATATCAAAAATATTGCAATGTGACCTTTCTGTTAGTTTTTGTTACTCATTTTGTCACTCATTTTGTCAACTTCAATGAGGTGAATTTTGATAGAATAAGAAACAAAAGGTAACGGAAAGATCACATTATAATACTTTTAATATATTAAGGGTATAGTGTAAAAAATCTCATCTTTTAAGTGTGCAAAGTGTAAAAAATCTCATGTGAGTGTGCAAAGTGGGAGTCGTTTGGGTGCTAAGGTGAGATTCTCCCTACTTTCGAGTTGGCTAACAAGAAAAATCCTACATCATGCTTGGATTTGACAAATGATGTACCAAAGCTAGTTTTCTTTTGTTTTCTTTCCCTCTTGTCAAACAAGAAACTTACTGCCCAAGAAAAGAAGTTAGTATTAAATTACTACAAACAAGCCTGGTTTGATAGACATACTATCTTCAATTCATAGATCCCCATGGAAGAAGTGAAGGTATATGGAGTTTGGGCAAGCCCTTACAGTCAGAAGGTGATATGGGCTCTAAAACTGAAGGGTGTTAAATTTGACTACATTGAAGAAGACCTCCATAACAAGAGCCAGAAGCTTTTGCAATACAACCCAGTTTACAAGAAGATTCCTGTGCTTGTCCATGGTGAAAAACCAGTGGCTGAGTCCGTCGTGATCCTCGACTACATCGAAGAAACATGGCCCGAGAATCCATTGCTACCCAAAGATGCTTATGAGAGGGCCGTGGCTCGGTTTTGGATTCAATTTGGCCAAGAAAAGGTAATTTCATTTTATAGACCCTTCATCTTTATATATATCCAGAGAAAATGAGAAATCCATACAGATAGGTTGGTTGAACTTTGACTTAGTTTTGCATATTGGATTTCTTCTTAAAATTCCTGTTCATATATCCAACCACACTTTGTTGTTCAGAGATTCAGGTACAATTCACAGATACTTGCCCTTGGATTTTTAAAAATTTTGACATAAGGAAGTTCAAATACTAACAGGGACAACCTGTAAATTTACACAAAGTTTGATAATTCCTTAAAATCAGGTCTTAGAAGATTTATCCCTCACGGTGTAGATAGTCTGCCCTTTGACCAGATTAAAAAAAAGATTATCGAAATACGCACAAATTGACCCAAACACCATTAATCTTTGAAAAAAAAAAAGTGATTGAGATGTTCGTGTTGGCACAATAACCAACGAATCAGAAACTGTGAGAACCCATGCTTTGTCAGTTAAAATCACAACCAACAGGCCCTCATTAAAGAACACTTGATTCATATGATAGAGAAACTAATAGCATTTCTATAATCCCTCATTTGGAAATGAAGAAAGCCATATACTTTATTCATACAACATCAGTTCAAGGGGTTTACCATTGAAATTGGATTTTATACCTATTCTAAACTAATTCCATCCTTTTATTATATTAGAGCGTTGTCGTGTCATGCCAATTTTTTGAACCAATAATTTTGATGCTGTCAATTTTTGTGTTGGGTTTATTATCATATTAACGCGTCATTTCAAACAATACCACCCTTGCACTAGCAAGAAAAAAATATATATTACCAACCTTTCTGTACAATTAGCCAACTGTAATATACTTTCTTTGACGTGATTTCATTGTAATCATTAGATTAATATTCAATTTTAATGTTTAATGGGTTCGAAGTTAATCCAATAGTTGTAGTGAATTAGATCAACAAATTAAGTTAATAAATTATATTAAAATAACATTGCTCTTTCCTGCATGATGTCTTATTTTCCTTAATAAGAAAGCATTTGTGGTCATGTCTAGAGTCCTACCTTTCACGCATTCTTTCGAACAGCTGGTGAGCAACAAGAAAAGGCAGTAAAAGAAGCACTGGAAGTTCTGAAAATCCTGGAAGAGAAAGGCCTGGGGGACAAGAAGTTTTTTGGTGGCAACAACATTGGATTGGTGGATATATCATTTGGTTGGCTTGCTCACTGGCTTGAAGGCATGGAAGAAGTTGTGGGCATAAAACTAATGGAACCCAGTACTCTACCTCGTCTGCATAAGTGGATCAAGAATTTTAAAGAAGTTCCTGTCATCCAAGAAAATCTTCCTGATCCTGAAAAACTGTTGGCATATTTTAAAGTCCTTAGAGAAAAGTTTGTCAGAGACCTACCAAGCAACGATCAGTAGTAACCGTTTCAGCCTTTTATCTACTTTAGTATTTTTTAGTGTCAAAAAATAAAATATAATAAAGTGAAATGTCATGTCCTTAATTGGTACTTAGAAATTTTTTATGAATAAGAAAGACCTTCTCGACTTTAGTTTTAAAAAACGTCCATTACATAATAGTATCAAAGAATTTTGTTACTGTAACATGTTATAACGTTTATTATTACGGCTGTCTTTACTATTATTTAGAACTATGTTCTTGATAGAAACATTTTTTTTGAATCCTATTAAGCTTGCTAGCTTCAACCCGCAAAAAAAAAAAAGAAAGAAGGCACCTAGTATGAAATGTTGCAATACTAAGTAATGTGGTATAAATAAGGTGCATTAATATTCTAGTTTTCAATAAGGAGCGGAGCTTGAAGAAGCCAAGCAAGCGTAGCATCCTATTACCTTTTTCAATCCCCTTTGATATTATACTAGTCAAGCATTAGTGCTCTTATAGAATAAAGCGCTCTATTTTTAGATAGTATTGTTGAAATTTGTTGGAGATTGTACTATATAATAAAATATTAAGAATTTCACGTCTTGTTGTGTCTTGATGGAAAAGAGAGAAAAGGAGTAAGGTGAGGAGATATCAAGAGGTAGAATGGATGAAACGAATTTAAAGGAGAAGAAGAAAATCAAGGTTCATTGGTTTCCTCTTCCCCTTCTTACCTTTCGAACCGACCTTACTTTTCAAATCGATCGTTTCTCAATCTCAATCTATAGCTGACTACTTATTGAAAGACCAGATAGAATATAATAAATAAAAAAAATCAAATTACAACAACTGTAAACATCTCTTCCCGGCTCTGTCGTTGATCAACTTGCTCGCACATCGTCTTTTTTGAGAGAAAATGTTAAGTGACTCTTGAAAGTTTGTGTCTTGATTAGCTTGGATCCTCTGTTTTTTATCCCCAAAAAAAAGAACACTCTCTTGTTGAAATGTTACAATTGAATAATGATAATGAAAAAAGGCCTCCTTTTAATTAAAAGAAAACCACTTATATCCAGCTTTATAATGACTTGAAGAGAATAAAAGGTGATAGTAACTATTGGTAAAGTCTTGATAATCATTGATCGAATCTTGTCTGTCTGTAAGTGCCAAGTTTATAAATATGGCAGAAGGGGTTGCATTGTTAAGTGCAGCTAATGCTTTTAGTAGTTGCCATATAGCATAATGCTACAAAGTTGAAAATTTTATGAAGTAATGTGAGATTTTCAATCGTTAAAGACGTAAAATTAAAATTTTAATATTTTTCAAGGTACGAAATCTCCGGCCTAAATATATTTCAACTTTAGTTAGGGATCTAAATCTTTCACAACAAAGTTGTCTGGTCATAAATACACATGATGAGAACAACGCTCATTGTTTAAAGAAGTACTTTAGAGATCAATGAGATAAGCTCCCAATTACAAACCTTAGCACACCACTAATTTCATAACAAAAGCAGATAAAAAAAAAAGACAGAAAAGCCATTATAACAGAGAGAAGACATCTTTGTTGATCAAGTGATGTCTGAGAAGGTTTTCAAACATGAAATGAAATCAAATGAACATATAACAAAAGTTCACTGAGTAAAACATAGATAATTTGTTGTTCTACTCGTTATTTTTATCGATAAATCAGAATAAATCAATTCGCACCACTTCTCGTCGTCACCAGTCATGTACTTTTGTGAAGTAACCACGAGGAGCTGGATAGTGACTAGAGACATAAAAGCCATCAGCCTTCACTTCCCAGTAGCACACAGGACCCGGTGCACCTTCTATACGTCCACAAAACTGTGGCGTCGCAGCATTAAAAACTTGAACAGATTGCTGCTTTGAACCCCATAGGAAAAAGCAGAAGAAAGTAGTAGTTCCGGTGATCTTCCAATGGAAATCATCTTTGACATGGAGGGTATGGTCTCCTCCAAGATCATTATCCTTGGACTGGCACCGAACGATCAATGGGGTGACATTGTTAGGGAGAGTGTTGAGTACGTGAATCTCATTGAAGCCTCTGGCAAATGAAACAGGATTCATGGTGAGAACCAAGTAAGATGACAGGATGAGTAACAAAGTGCGGTTTCTGGTTGTAGACCTCATAATATGCAATGGTGCTTGTGGTGTTTGGACCTATATTTTACAAGTATATATGTATATGTAGCATAAGAGAAGCAGGATTTCTATGCTAAGACAAACAATCGGTGAAAATCATGATGTTCTTTGGCAATTTACTTAGATTATGGTTATTCAAGATAAGGTAGATTATAAGGATCTAAAAGTGATTGTCAAGCTATTGTGCCAGTGTGGCCCCATTTGGTACATATTACAGACATAGATTATAGATTACAGTTATACATTACCTTATAATAGATTTGCCGTTAAATTTCAGAGATTGTTTGACAGAGCAGTCTAGAATCAGAGAATCGGCTCATTGTCAGGAATGGCTGGCAAACGAACTGCTAAAGTATCATATCAAGGTAAAATGGCTACAAGACAATTAAGCAGTAATTTAATGTCTTCTGAGAGAAATAAGTTGTAAGAACTTACTCTATTTTTCTAACATAATTCGAATCTATTACCAATATACCCCATTTATCAAACTTATTTACCGATCTACTGCCGTTTTCAACTTATTTACCAAACTACCGCTGTTTTAAAAGCGGATTTGACAAATCTGACTTCGTGGGGAAACCAGATTTGACAAATCCGACTTCATTTGGAAAGCGAATTTGGCAAATCCGACTTCATTTGGAAAGCGAATTTGGCAAATCCAACTTCAATTGAAAAGCGGATTTGGTAAATCCGACTTCATAGGGAAAGCGGACACACCAAATCCGTCTTTATATGGAAAGCAGACATACCAAATCCGCCTTTATATGGAAAGCAGACTTACCAAGGTGCAAGCCTTTATATGTATAATTGTGTTGATCGCCAAAAGAGTATTTGACTATTTATTGAATACGTTTAGTCTCTCTGATTCTATATTCTTTGTGAATAAATTACTCACCTTTATTAGTCGTTAAAAATCCACTAATAGATTCTATCTAAATTTATTAGTTATAACTCGTACCTGAAAGCACGATAAAATATAAAATTCGAGCATCCAAAAAATCGATCCCACTATATTAAATTTTTTCAAAATATATTAATTACAAATTAATCAAATATTAAATAATTAAATATATGATAAAAATGAGATTTATTTTTTAGATATAAAATATATAAAGTCAAGAATTTCGGGTAGTATCCCAGTAAGAAAATTAGATGAAATATTAAAAATTACTAGTTGAGACAAAAAACGGATTTGATATGTCTGCTTTCTAAATGAAGTCAAATTTGGTATGTTCACTTTCTCTATAAAGTCGGATTTGTCAAATCCGCTTTCCCTATAAAGTCAGATTTGTCAAATTCGCTTTCTCCATGAAGTCGGATTTGCCAAATCCGCTTTTAAAACAGCAGTAGTTTGGTAAATAAGTTAAAAACGGCAGTAGATTGGTAAATAAATTTGATAAATGAGGTAGATTGATAATAGATTCAGCATAATTCCATAGATGAAAACATACTGCAATTGTAACTAGTAATGAACAGATCACAAAACATTAAGTACTACAAGTAACAACACATATAAACTGAGTGGTTAAAGTTCAAGAGCATGCAAGTGCACAAACAATCATAGTTATCAAATCGTGTATCGGAAGGCGTATCGTAAGATACAAATATTGTATCGTATCGTGTATCGTATCGTGTATCGTAAGATACGATGCAATTTTAAATAAATAATAAAAAAATATATATACCTTTGAAAAAAGTCATACACTCATAAAAAATATAGCATTTCATTAATACTCCACCAACTATTCAAGTTATCAACATAATCCACTACTATTATAATGCAAAGTTCACAACCATAGTTCACTAATTCAAACTTTAAACACCAAAGAGACTTCTAATCCAAATTTCTAACATCCATTTTGAACTCAATCTTCAATTTCAATTGAAAATGCATCATCATCATCATCATTGTGATCGGATGCCAACAAGTCTTCACTTGTCGTTTTTTAAAAAAAAAATCAGAGCACAAAACGACTTCGTTTTTAAAAAAAAAAAAAAAAAAAAAAAAAATTGCACGTATCGTGCGTATCGTACCGATACGTATCGTATCGTAAAAACGTATCGTGTATCGGACGATACAACGCAAAAACGATACATAACTACGATCCGTATCGTTTTAGGGCTGTATCGTAACGTATCGTACGATACGTATCGCGTATCGTATGATACTAACAACTTTGCAAACAATACCTTCTTCAAAATTGCAAATGGATCATCTAAGAAACAAGGAAGACCATGGCCCGTTGGGCCCGCCCTGATGGTCCTCTAGTAGGTTACCAAGCAGGTCAATCCTAATAGGCCTTAAACCGATCATAATCAGGTTTTTTTTTGTTACCTTCATCAAATTTCTAATTCTACAAAGTTATAAAAACAATTGGGATAAAAAAAATCACTTTCATTGATTGAAATAAACACAACTGCATTGATGAAGAACTAAGTTGCAAGTTGCATCACTACAGGATGAGGACATTCCAATAAGGTTGACACTACACCACTCAATCATTTGCAATTTTCAACTTTTTTCAAACTTATTTCAAATTTGAAGAACAAATTGTGATCCATATACGCCACCTCATTATCTACTCCGCCTTAAGTATCCACTATCGAACAATACTCTGGTATCTTAAACTTAATTGTGATAATGTATCAACTAGTTCGTCTTCTCTCTGTGCTTCTTGTATTCTATTAACTGAGACTGCAGTTCTTCAAGGAGATCAAGGCTTCAATTGAGTTGGTTTGAGAGGCTAATAAGTAATGACCATCCTCCTCAATTAGAACCTACCAAGGATCAAAATATCGTTTCGGTGTATAGTTTCGGTCACCTAGGAAACAGAAACGTTTCGACGTGTTTCGAAAACGTTTCGACACGTTTTGAAAACTTGATGATAAAAATAAAAAATTTAAAAATTATTTTTTAAAAACATCGATGGAAATATATCAAAGTATCTTGAAATATCTTGAAACATTCTAAAACAATTGTGCAAATACATTGAAATATTATAATACATTTAAAAACATTATGGAATACCTCGAAATATCAAAATTTCGATTTCATCACTGTTTCATTTCGGTCTTCTGCGAAACGAAAACGTTTCAAACTTTTCGACCGTTTCGAAATGATATTTTAATCCTTAGAACCTACAAAAAATAATATTGTAATTCTACTGAACTACTCAATGTATTATAAGATGTTTGCTCATTTTTTAAAAAAAAATTGGGCAATGTTTCATGATTTCAAGAAGTATATGATCTTTGTGTCTTCAGTCTTGTATTGCGAATAAAGTAATATCTACATACCCATAATTCTGTTTACAATCTTAAATAATGTTGAGAGAATTTAATGTATGTTAATATAATTTTGCTAGCTTCATTTGCAAAAATAATATCTAATCATAGACATTCTATTTTAAACCTAGGATCAAGAACAGTAGTTGATCCAAATATTAAAAAATAATCAAAAAAGAAACTGCTACTATCAACTACTAGAAGAACAGCCACAAACTATTGAGTACTACAAGGAACAGAAGCAATAAGTCCTTCCCATCAAAAGGATGCAAGTGAAAGTATGGTCAAGTTCAATAGGAACTCTCCAACTTGGAGGGAAAAAATTATTTTGCAGCTTGTGCAACAGAAATGATCATTTTAAGTTTTTTGAGAAATCTTCATCACAAGGATCAAAATTTCATGTCGATGAATTGTTTCGGTTACATAGGACACAAAAACATTTCGGAGATGTTTGGGACACGTTTCAAAAATAGAATAGAAACAAATGAAAAAATTGAAAATTTATTTTCAAAGCATTCCAAAATAATGGTTATTAAAACATCTTCAAATATCTCAAAACATGGCAAAATATTGATGAAAACATGGCAAAATATTTCAAAACACATCAATGCATTGGAATTTCGAATAAATCACAAATTCATATTTGTCTCCTTGAAAACAGAAACATTTTGACCGTTTCGAAATGAAAGTTTAATCCTTGCTTCTTACATGCATTATTCAATGTGTGGGATGCTAGACAATAGTCACGGGGAAATTACATAGCATCATAAAAAATACAAGTTTATATTTAAGTATAAGAAATTAACTACTAATAAAGTACTTTACTAAAGTAGGAGGGATCAAATCTCCCACAATGATCGATTTTCTTGAATGTTCAATCACTCACTGTGTATAAGTGGGAGACTGGATTCTATATGGTAGATACCACTCAAATTCATGATGCATAATTCAGCATTAAGTGAACCGGAAGGAAAGTATATTGCAGGACTTAACATTGTAAGAAAGCTGGGTCACATGCTTCTTTGTCTATCTATTTGAATTCGATTTATTAGTCCATGAGCAAATATAGGTAACGTAAAGAGAAGTATGCAAAAAGCTTGTATCCTACATCGAAATATTAGGACCACACAAGTCGGTTTACATGGGTGCAGAAACCTACACATTATCAACTACTTTTGAGTTGGATGCTCTAACATCCTCAACATACAAGAGTAAGGATAGTAGTTCAATCAACAAAAAATGCATCTGGAAGTGTGGTGGAACTTAGGAATGGATTTGGACTTGCACAAATGAATTCTTTTTATAGATTTTAGGGCACAATGCACATTAGAAACATAAAAAGAAATAATTTGAGGAAGCATACTTTATAGGTTGAGGTCTGAGTTCAGCCTCTGGTCCAAGCTAGGTCCAAGTCCGAGATCCAGTCCAAGGTGTAGGTCTAGGGTCCAGTCCAGAATAGGGTCCAAAGTTAGGTCTGGATCCAAAGTTGGGTTTGAGTCTGGTCCAAAATCAAGTTCGGTCTAGGTCCAAGGTCGAGGTCCGGATTCTAGTTAGGGTAGGGGTCTTGGTCCAAGGTCAACGTTGGGTCTAGGGCCCAAGTTTGGGTCTGAGATCAAGGTCAAGGTCAGTTTTGGGTAGGGCTCGAGTCAAGTGACAGGCTCGAGTTTGGAGCTCCCAGGTCAGTTTATTAATTAACAATTCAAATGCATTTTTTTTCTAAATTACTTTTTATTGGCGTATTTTTTTTCCTTGAATATCCAAACAGTGCTTATCTAATTAAAATATTTTTTATGCAGTACTTTTGCATAGCATTTGTAGGAAATACTTGTAAATTTCATAAGTCATCCTACACGTCAACTAAATTCATAGTAACATCAATACAAGCGACTTTGAAGATTACTGCAATAACTTGGCGGTATATGCAGCTTAGAAAGGGCTGCACATCCAACAATCAGGGAGGATGGATTTTCAATGCATTCTTTATATTATGTTTCGTTATTTTTCTTTGCCTAGGGACTAACCCGAATATTCATTAAGTTGAAAACGGGTTAGTATCGTTTTCTCTGTAGTTCGTTCTTGATCCACCAACAATTTGCCGACCCGGAATCTGCTTGATGTTGGGTACAATACACCTTACCAAGAGTAATGCTTTTTGGACCCAAAAATTTAAATTAAGGGTTAATAATATTTTGATCTCTAAAGTATGTATTTTTGGTCGATTTAGTTCTCATTGTATCAATTTTGTTCATAAATTATTTAATTTGTGTTATTTTGATCCCTACATAGATAAATTGTTAAATTTTTAACGAAATAATCACTTATTGGACACGTGATACCGTTTTAAAAAATGATACATGATCATTTCTGTCAAAAAATTTGATGAATTTTAGGGATCAAAGTAACACAGATTGAATATTTTATGGATTAAATTGACAAAATTGATACAATAAGAACTAAACTGATAAAAAATACATACTTTAGGGATTAAAAGTGTCATTAACCCTTAAATTAATTTGCTAACATGAGTATTTGTCAATTAAAAGGGTCTCAATGACGAAATCTAACAGTTGCAAGTGAAATAATGCTATTAAATCAAATCAGCTACCACATTCTAAACCAGAAAATTACATCAGATTGTTAGGGTCTAATACCATTATCGCCTTACCAAACCACTAATTTGAAGATAAAAGGAAACTTGGGAAAAAAAATTACACTATAGCACAAAATGCATCTTTGCTGATTTATCTTAAATTGAGGAAATGTGATGAAACACAATAGAAATTCAATCAATCATACATAGATAGATGAATTGATCTTGTATTCTCATTTTTTTAATAGGTAAATTAAAAAACAAATTGTTAGTGACCACACCAACTTGTCATCACCAGTCACATGCTTTGGTGAAGGGACCATTGTAAGGAGGATCATATTTAGCAACATAGAAACCATCAGTCCTAACAGACCAGTGACAAATCCGACCAGGAGTTGATGTATGAACACATTTCCCGGTCAAAAAGTTGTCAAAAACTTCAAAGGATTTGTCAAAACAACCCCACTGAAAATGGCAAAAGAAAGTCGTAGTTCTCCATATATTGACATGAAAGTTCCAGTGGAAGTCCTGGTGCACCGGAAGAATGTAATTTTTCAGATCGTTGTCGCGGGATTGGCAATGAATAACCAAGGCCGCGCTGTCGGCGGGGAGGTTGTTGACTACATGAACCTCATAACCATCTGTGATGTGTATGGCTTTTATTGAGGTAGCAAGGTAAGATGAGAGAATGAGGAAGAAAGTAATGCTCCTGGTTGTGTACCTCATGGTGTATTTTGTGGTGTTTCAAGCTTTGTTTTGCCACTGTTTATATCCCAGAAGCAGTGGACGTTCTATGGTAATATAGAATAGTCATTGTCAAACTGCTGCTATGTTAAGCAAGGTTCAAACTATCGGCTGAGTCGTATCCACCTCGGCCATCGAACCGATTCTGCTACACGGTACGCGAATAACACGAGACTCAAGAGAATCGGCCTTGACTCGGTGACGACTCGGCGATATCGGTTCAAATCGGAGTCGAATCGTTTGAATCGGACCGAGTCAGACCGAGTTGGACCGAATCATCAGGAGATCGATGTAAAAAAACCAAAAAAAAAAAAAGAGAAGGGGAGAAAAAGAAGACCAATTCCACATGTAGATTCACATACCCAAAGTAGCAGAAATCAACAAACCCTAAAACAGAAATTGAAAGGATTCGAAGAAAAACCTGTAGGTCCTGTACAGTTATCGAGTTACATACAGCGGATATATTGTACAGCTGCTTCTTCTCCATTCGAGCGTCAGAGCAGCGACGCCGACGACAGCTCCTTCTTCTCCATTCGAGCGTCAGAGCAGCGGCCTTCTTGTTTTCTTCGCACAGGCAACACCGACGGTGAGTATATAAGGCTCTGTTTCTCTCTTCGCCGCTTGGAGCTTTTGTGCCTTGGTTGGTCTAGGTCTCTCACCTCAGCCTACTATTACTATACTAAATATTATTATATTAGACAAATAAGAGTTTTAATTTTTAATAAAATTATACTCTTATTAATTTATAATATAAAACAAACAGTTTCAAGAAGCTCATCTTACGATCTCAAATTCATGGTCAAAAAATTACTTCCTTAATATTTCCCTCCCAACCAATCAACAATTACGACTGATCTTGAATCATATTTTACGGTCTCAAATTCATCAAATAGTCAAAAAATTACCATTTTTTTCCTTAATTTTTTCTCCAAAATCGATCAACGATTACGGCTAATCATGGAATACAGTATTTTCTCTCACATAATAATTAAATGGGTAAAATTTGTCATTAATATCATATATGTAGTATAACATTTTGAATTTTTATCTAACACAATGATAACATTTTGATTAAAAAAAACTCATCAATTTAACAAATAAAAAAATAAGGGTGATGCTTAACACATTTATAGTAGATATAATTAATTGTAATTTTATTTATTTAGTTAATTATCTCAAACTAATATGTCTTACTCATATCTTGAATCAAAAGTTCAAAATTAATTTTTTTAATCTTTTAAGAAAATTAACACTAATATATTCTTATAAATTTTTAATTTTGTAATAACTTGTACTAATTAAAAAATAATATTTTATAAATGATATTTGTAGATCTTTTTTTTTATAGAAAATATTTTGGAGATGTGTTTTTTGATAAATTGGATTTTTAGTTTGTATTAAATTTGACTCGATTTGATTACATGTATATAAATTAATGTTTTTGTTAAGTCAATTCTATCATATTTTGGAGATTTATCTATAATATAAAATGGAATAGACTTCAATAAGTTCACCTAAAAATCCCAAATAAACTCATTAAATAGTCATCAACATCTCACTCAAAATCATTCAAATTGAATTTTACCTTCATTTTCTCATTCGTCAGTCTCTCTCTCTCAAGTAATGGTGGAGGGAGGAAGGGCAAGAAGGATCTAGGCCACCCTGGAAAATATATATATATTTTTTAGTTATATATTTTTTTTTGGATATTCTTAATTGGGCCACTGTAATAATTTATGACAAACAAAATTAATTGGGTCAGACAAGTTGGACACTAGAACAAAAAACAAAAACAAAAAGTCGATACTAAATCTCTTAAAATTAGTAAATTAAAATTGATTTCTTAGAGTATTTGTATGATTTATTGCAACCTCCTTTGGTTCACAAATTATGGAATATATAGTCAAAAATAAGTAAAATATGAAATTTGTAAGAAGATTAAAAATTATAGAATATTACTTTTATTTGTGTGAAATAAATTATATAACTGATCTTTGATGTATAGATGTTATCTTATTAATTTTTTTCAAACAGACCCATTTTATGTTTAATGAATTTTTAAGTATCAAATCCGATATAAAAAAATATAAATATATAACATTATTTTTATCTTTTAAAGACAATAAAACTTGTACTTAAAGTGTATCCAATCTAGATCATATTTTTTACTCCATCACTGCTTTCTGGGATCTTCACTCATCACTTCTTCAAATTAAACAGTTAGTTTACGTTATACCGTGTCTTTAGACATGGGTTATCCCTAGTATACATATAAAAACAGATTTTACAATTAAAAACATAATGCATATGTAATTTATAAGTACAATAAAATTTCTCAAAAAAAATTATATATTTTGAAACATAAATTAACATAATGTTTTCTATATTTTTCAACTTTTTTGACTATGTATAATTAAGTATTAAAGTTATATTAGATCTAGATTTATTTTTATGATGAAAATAACTTACCCGGTTTGTATAGTTAACTTAAAGACAATAGTTACAATTTGAATTTTATCCATCTAGGATATATGATGCATGAATTATGTTGTATATATTTTTTATAATGTTATTAGAATTTTTTGGACTTTTTATCAAGCATTTCACTCGTATCGGCCAATACAGTGCCGCGACACCGCGACCGATATATATAAGTGTCTTCCTGAGTTGAGAGCCGATACCGTAACCTTAAACCATGATGTTAAGGATCGAAGTAGATTATGGTTATCCATCGTATGTACATTATGAGAATCAAATGAAAAGTTCAATTTATCGCATATTGTCAGAATCAACTATATGCAAGGAATGTAAAATTGCAAATAATTATTCTATTTAGATTTAATTTGTTGATTTAACTTAGTCAACCGGACCCATACCGTACATGAAAAGAGACTTATTTAATGTTAGTTTCAAAAATAGATTTTGATTTTTCTTGCACATTTCCACAAGATAGATCTTACCATAATACTCTGTTTGGTAGAAAAAATGAAAAGTATAAGTGATACATTTTTTATCTTCCAAAGAAAAAAAATATGAATGATACACTTTTCTCTTTTTGTGTTTGGTAGAATAAATGAAAAATAAAAGTAATTAATTTTTTTTTTTGTACTTGGTAAGATAGAAAAAATATTTTTTTTAATTTTTTAATTTTTAAAATATATATATAAATATTATCATTGTATTTTTATATGAAATTAATGTATACATAATATATGTATATATCAAAAAATATATAGACAAAACACAAATAATTAATTTTTTATTAACTTTCCTTTCAATTTTGGAAGGATTGATTTTGGTGAGTTGGAAGAAAAGTTCATTCATCCACTTTTTTATCTTTCCTATTTTTCTGTCTTACCAAATATGATATTTTATATATTCCTCCAACTTTTCAACCATCAATTTTTCCACAGTACTAAACAAGACATAAATATCAATGATTGATTACTAAACCACGAATAGCCAACCACCGCACAAAACAACATTGTTAAGATATTTAGGTATGTTTAGATAAATAAATATGATGATAGAAATATATAATTTATATTTATTTTGTATAATTCTCACACTATAAATAGGGTTAAACTCTATATAATCAATTACAGAGAAATAATACATCAATGTAGTCTATTGGACATTAGGTCCGTGGACAAAAGCGCATTGCACATAAGCTTTGGTTGGCAATGATCACTATATAAAAAGGAGTCTCAAGTAAAGAAAAAACCCTATTGTACTCTTCTTCCTAAAAAAAGCAATATACATTCAAGGAGCAAGAAGCTTCCATTACAGTAGATTAGTCAAGTTTTTCAACTGATGAACCACTTATTTTTTTGTGTATTCTCGTTTATCTTTACACACACATGACACACCCACTAGAGCTCATCCAGCTCTCCACCTCATGTCTCTCGATTTTTTACCACCATCAGTATACACATTCAATTCAGCAGGCCCAACGTTGATCCTTTCTTATCCGGTCCACTCTCTGTATCAGCATATCCTGAAGTAAATCCCGACATACATACTGGAAACAAGGGACCCGTCCCGCCTTCCTTATCAGTGTCTAGGATACTGGAGTAGCAGTAAAGGTGGTTGGACATTTCCTAGCTCCAATCCTTCTTCCTTGATACAGATATCTCAGGCCAACGGTTGATCCTCACATTGTGTGCCCTGATCTACCCATCACCCACAAAACTTGTAACAGTATAATAACAGGATTCATGTCCTCCCTATACTTTGTCACCTGGATCTGCACTTTGGCTTCCATCTGGATGAAAGTAGCGTCGCATGGGAGGCCCTATGCCCTCCCTGTAAGGATCAAGATTTGGCCAATAATCTGGAGCCGCCTGAGGGCAAAAAGGATAATTTGTCAGATAGGTCAGTAAAGATTCATTAGAGGGGGTGAATGTGTTCAAGCAAATTATATCATTGTCATGCGCATATAGATTACATTGAAATTTGGCAACTATTACTTGCAGAATATATATCAAACTTTGACAAAATATGAGGAAAAAGTGAAGAAAGGTTATGACACTTATGTAAGTACTCATTTGGCATGCGTGTTTAGTTCAAGATTGAAAGAAAGTAATGCACAACTTATTCAGCGACACCCTACACAGCTTACAGGAGTGAAGCAAAGTATTGCAGCCACCGCCAACCACCAAAGTTTAAAACTCTGTTTTGTTTAAACTGAAATAAGCAAAACATTTTTGTTTCTATGGAAATCGAAACAAATCAATCACTGAATATAGAAATTCCTATGTTTTGAGGTATTCCAAAGTGCTTTGAAATGTTTTGTCATGTTTTGACCAATGTTTCAAAAACAAATTATTCAAATTTTTATTTTTTTTATTCTATTTGTAAAATTTTCTTGAAATTAACTAAACAATACCATTTTGAGCCCAATGAAAATTAATACCGAAAAAAAATTGTGATCCTTGTGGACCACAACCTCCACCACCACCATATCTTCAACTACAATAACTATATAAGAAGGAAGGGTTGTGTACTTTG